GGGGGGGGGGACATGATTTACACAGTATTCTCTCACATTATTACTGAAATCCCCTTTCCTCCACACTTAGTACTCTGTGTGGTATGTGTTTATTTTCAACTGATTTCATTTCTACAAACAAAATGAATTAATTTTTATTAATTTAGTAACATCTTCTGTCATATCACAAGATTTTTCTTATTCTTGCTAATCCCAGATTCCATACAAATGTGAAAGAAAACTGAAATCATAAGATAGGGAAGGCAAACTGATAAATGTGATTAAACAACTTTTGTATTGAGTCCAAAGGCAAATAACTTTATTGCAAGCTTCATGGATGTGGCGGAAAGAATATCACTTTAGGAAAATCTGCATTGCATTGGCCAAAACTGATTTCCAGGCTTTATGACTTGGTACAAACATATCACTTAGCCTGCTAAATCTATTTCCCCATCTTTAAAATGGGTCTAACCTTCCCGATTCAGAAGGTTTGGATAAAGAACAAAACTCAGAGTTTATGAAAGAATCTTGAAAATTACATTTTTCTTCCCAAGTGTTGAAATTATTTTAAATATACAAATAATAGAGCAGAACAAACCCTTATGTAATAAATTTTGGAGAATTGAATTCAATTTATTTTGCTTATATTTGGATAAATCGTCAACTTGATTAGGATGTAATTTATACACAATTAAATTCACCCATTGCAAGTCTTCCATGTGTTGACTATTTGATAATTGAATAGCTATCTTAGCTAATACTTGGTATTTCTGTATTAAAATAGGGAAGAAGAGCACCCTCTTTAGGTAAAGTATCCTGTGCCGGGCTATCAGGCCCCCCTACCTCAGTTAATTGGTTGGTCGATTGATTGAGGCAGTCTCATTCTGTGCCCTGGGTAGGTAGCTGTGGTATCCTAGCTCACAGCAACCTCAAACTCTTGAGAGGGCTCAGGCACTCCTCCCTCAGTTAAAAAAAAAAAAAAAAAAATTTTTTTTTTCTTTTAAATATGGAACTTAGGCTCAGCGCCTACAGCTCAAGTGGTTAAGGCGCCAGCCACATACACCGGAGCTGGTGGCTTCAAATTCAACCCCGGCCTGCGAAACAATGACAACTACAACCAAAAATATCTGGGCATTGCAGCGGGTGCCTGTAGTTCCAGCTTGGGAGGCTGTGGCAAGAGAATCACTTAAGCCCAGGAGTTTGGAGATTGCTGTGAACTGTGATGCCCCAGCACTCTACCCAGGGAGACAGCTTGAGGCTCTTTCTCAAAAAAAAAAAAGTAATAATAATAATGGAACATGCCACAGATTTGCATGTCATTCCTATGCTGGTGCCATGCTGATGTTCTCTGTATTGTGCAGTTACAGCATATGTGCTGCTGAAAGTGGATTTGCATCCTGCTCTTGGCTGGACTTGAGGCCCTTTTGTTTATTTACACTGCTTCGGGGTTTGTAGTTGCTCCACATATACATTCTCTCACTTCCTGTCTAAGGCGGAAGAGGCTAGGAAAGAGCCCAGGAAAGAGCCCCTGAACTGAAGGTAAGAGAAAAGAAGGCAAAGACAGCAAGATAGTGTCTATCAGTGTAGGTATGTTTAGGTTTTCCAATTGTCAGCAGAAGCTTTTATCATAGGACCAAAATCTCACCTTCAGTGTGACTACAGGAGGAGGCACAGGAGACCTAAACCCTTTATAGCAAATGATTATTTTCATAGGATTATAGTTGGGAATGGGAGTAGTGATAAACATTTTAAACATTTCCTGTGAATGATACCAGATTTTCATCCAAATGTGCAGCTTATGGGCCACCATAGAAAATGTATTTGGAATGAAATAAGAACAACCATGTCAGAGGGTCTCCCCTCAGATCTCAAGCAACTGTATTCTAAAGAACTATGAAAACTGGGCTTAAATGAAACAAAGTTTTGAAGGACAAGAGAAAGAATATAGATAGCCCAGATTGAGGACCCCTCCGTTCCTCCAAGCCCTTGAGGCATTGTCTTTCTAGTCAGAAACCTTGCTTACCCCAGGATAACCCTATTTTACCTTTTATTTAAAAAAAAAAAAAAAAAAAA